GTCAACACACACCGCCAACTTCTTTGTGACCCCAGATGTACTTCTCCCAGGGCAAGGTGAGATTTTCTCTAATCTCCTGCCAGAAACTCCAACTCAAACTCTTAACGATGGCGTTTAGCAGGTTATGATGTGGGGCATCTGCAAATTCCTGCCCCTTAAGGGGTCTGTTCAACCCTGCAACATGAAACTGGTGGCAGGCCTGGCTGCAAGAACTCCGAAGCCTTCCCTGCACTCGCAAAGGACAAGGCTGGACAGGCGACACAGATAGAAAGACAGCAGGATTTCTACTGTCTCTCTTGTATTTGTGAGAGACTCATCCACCTCTGTCTTCAAAATGGAAAATAAAAGGCAGAAATAGAGTCGGTAGAAATGGCCAGGGAGTGGAGCAGGTACACAAGCAAATCCTACTCTCACCCCCAGCTGGGGTCCTCAAGGAGGAGCTGCCATAGGCTTTGCTCACAGAAAATGCCACAAGACTTGGCAAGATACAGTGCTTGAGAGCTGGGTTTCTATTCTCTGTGTTGAACACTTTTATTTCCCCGGTCCAAAGGGATTGGTGGAGAAGAACCTTTGGAGGGAAAACTCAAGACAAAAAGACTTTGCTTTAATATTCTCTTCCTTGGCTGAGTTCTTCCAGCATGCTTAAAGAGAGAGGACCAAATGGACAAGTACAATTCACTGGGTTGGAGCCCAGGGTCATAATTAAACTTGCTACCTTAAAAAACTGTCTCTAGTGCCAAAGGGCTTAGCCCTTGTGTACGTAAGATCTTCAACAGAGAATGTGAAAATCTCCAGCTCTTCTACTGCACTGAAGTGTTCCCCACCAGGTGGAGCCAGACTAGAATCTAATCCCCCAGTCATAGAGCTTTATATTTGCACAAAAAGATCCAGAATGTCTTTCTAAAAAAAAAAATCTGTAAATAGTTACATCTGCCTTGAGGGAGCACTTGTATTCAGACAAGCAAACTGTCTTTACTGGAAGCTACTGGCAACTCTGTACTTGCAAAAATCAGGACATTGTGCATGCAAAGCTACAAAAAGAGATGAAGAAGCCCAATTTCTAGCACATATTTTAAGGATATTCCTCGTATTTTTCACTGAGCGATCTTGATAACAAAGATGAGCTTTAGTCAGGAGATGATAGAATTATTCATAGAATCATCTGCAAAACCGTATAAAAGTGTGTAAAATTTGCTTGTTTCTCAGAAAGTCACTTCAGACACATAATCAGATTCTGTATGGAGACCAGCTACAACAACCTATTCTGTCAACGTAACACATCGAGTTCTGCAGCAAAGCCAGCAAAGGACTCGACAAACTTCTGGCCCAAATGTCCTATGCATTATACTTCTAGGGTAGGTGGTCTCTCTTTCCATATGTTGCTCAGTTTTCTAGTCTATAACAAGGGCTGTAGTGTGCTGAAATTTTCTTCTTGAGCTGCAGAAGATTTGGGTGACACGTGAGATATTTAATCAGGTATTAAGGAAAAGCTATGCTGCTCTCTCAACTTATTTTTGTAACTATTACAGGATTCATTATGCAGAACAGAAGGCAAACGTCTCAGTCGCATCAAATTTCTCCCTAAATCTGCTGGCTGCAAACTGTGTAAAATTGCATTCTGGAAATGGATTAGTTAACTATGGGAGTTACAAAAGTTCTTCTCTATTACTGTGCTCTGCACCAAGATGTTGTCACAGCTCACTGCACCATATGGTATTTATTTTCACTGACATTTTCTATTCATGCCACACATTATCCAAGTTAATTTTGTTAATAGCCAGTAACCTGACTGAACGGTGCCAGAATTTTAAAATTATTTTGCAAGATTCAACAAAATTTATATTAAACGTTTATATCAATAAACATCCAAGCAGCAATAACTTGTCTGTGCTAAAGCTATGGCCAGAACAAAATCCTGGGTATAGAAATAGCCCTCCCAGATGTTATTCAAGTTTATGTAAACAAGCCACAAGGCATCATGAATTTATGGAGCTGGCTGCCATAGGAGGCCAGGCAAGCAAGTGGTAATAGCAGGTTCAAAATGGGACTAGAGAAGCTCATGGGCAGCAGGGCCATAACAGATTGGACAGGAGCAGGCTGGGGTAGTCCCTCTAACATCTCATGTCCAGCAGCTGAGGTTGCTGGGCCAGTACGAACAGACTGCAGAAAGTGGCCGGATTCCTTTGCTCCCTCAAACAGTCAGAGGGGAGACAGGCCACTCTGGGTGGACCCTTGCTCTGACCAAACAGGGCTTTTCTCATGTTTTTATATTCTTAAATATCTACGTAAGAGTTTTGCAAGTGTCTCATGTCTAGCTAAAGAGGTAAAGCTAAGGTTTGGGTGAGAGAGCTTCCTTTCCCCTTTAACTCTGAAGAAGTTCAGACATGGGTGTGAATGCTTAATTGTGAAAAAAAAAAAGAGAGATCTGGAAAGAGACCCCATCATCCTGCTGCCAGGAAGTGTGCTCAGCTCCACCTATAATGTTCTTCATCAGTGTAACCTGTTTTCTCCCATGATGGGGATCTTACCTCTCCCTCAGGCAGCCTTCTTCAATGCCTCAACTTCCCTTACTGTTCGGAAGTTTTCCCTAAAATCTAACCTGAATCTTCCTGGTTGCAATTTAAAATTTCTTCTAGTCCTTATCCACCAGACACATAAAGCAGATTACTCTTTCCTTTCTAAGCAGATATTTATGTACTTAAAATCTGTTTGCCCAGTCCTTCCTCCACTTTCTTTCCCTGTGCTAAACAAAACTAATCCAAAGCGCTAGTTCTATCTGGAATTGTGAAGTTAGCAAGACTAGAAAGAGCAAATAGTCTAATTTCTAACTTAATGTGAGTTCAAGTTACTCTTGTGTCATACCCAGAGAATATGTCTGAACAGCCTTTTCGAAAGCAACATAACATTGCTTAAAGGTTTAAAGTGGTGGAGAATCTAGTATGTTCATAATTTAAATTGTTTCAGTGATTCGTTAGCCTGAACGTTAAAATGTGATATCTGGTTTTTCATCTGGCTTTTTCTAGCTTCAGCTTCAAACTGCTGGAACTCGTTGGGACTTGCTTCGTGAAACTGGAAGGCTTCCCACCCTCAGAAACCTCAGGCACGTCTTGATCTTCCTTTGATAACATGTACATCTATAAAAAGAGTTTTTAAGTTTCTGATGGCAGGATCATTCATCTTGTGCTCAAGCTCTTTGTGGTTCTTTTCAGAGCTCTGTAATGCTAAACCTTTAAGTGCAAAGCTGGACATGGCCCACTAGATAAAGATATGGTGTAGTAATATATAGATATTCCCATCTCTGCCAAAACCAAAGTGTATTCTTGCTCTCTTCTGTTCAAGGTGTGTTGCTCTCCAGAGAATAAACTCTCGGTTTCAGCACCCGGGGTTCATATAGTTGGTTACCCACAAAATCAGTGCAAAGTCAGTGCTTTTCACATACAAGCCTGTGTCCTGTACGCAGGGCCTGCTTTCTTGCAGACGTTCTCATAGGTAGGACCAAGAACATAGAAATCTGTAAACTAAAACCATTTCATTAAACAGAAAAAAAATACTCTCCTTTGCAGATAGGCAACTCCTTACTTGGCACCATTTACTACAGCAGGCCTCACCTGAGACTTCTAACTTGTCCACTGTGTCTCCTTTTGTCACAGTGCCTGGCTGGGGAGGCATCTCCAGGTTAGGAATTGACTTCATTATATTAGCCTGGGCCTCTTCCAAGAGCTTCTCAAACTCCTTTCCATCATAGTGATCCAGGTTCTGTCGTTTCTCCTCCCATTTCTTTTCTGCTTTCTACACAAAAACAGTAAAGCATCTATTTATCTTTCTGATTTCTGTGTGATCACTCACTTTTAAAAATCCATGTAAAAACATTACAGGTCAATGTGGGGAGAATCTTTCAGTCATAGTGAGCAATCAAAGGAAATATATTACTGCTATAATTCTATATTTATTCTGGCCTCCATACAGCACAATCATAAACCAAACCAAAAATACCTGCTGCTCACCAAAGGCATAAATGCAAAATTTAAATCAAGGGCACTGACTTACTATAATGTGCTGATGATTAAAGTGCATTTCTGTAATAAGACATGAGAGTTCAGCTGTGGGTTTGCTGGATATCTCTGTGTGAATTCACTGAACCTTTCCACTCTCTCATTTTTACCTCTACAGAATGAGGGACATGGAGAATTAGAAAAAGACTGATATCCACCCACATAAGGGCTACCAAAGAATAATATGCTATTGTTTAAAAACAGGCCATTAAAAAAAAAGGTTTTATAAAGGTGTTAAAAACACACAGTTACTCATTATGTTATAAACTGTCACATCTAAGCCTGAGGGAACTTTCAGAAGTGCTTTGTGAAATTAGGGATCAAGCATACAGATGATGCTTTGGAAAATCCCACCTTCATTTCAGGAGTGAGATAGGGAGCTTGGACCCAAAGAGCAGACAAGTGGTTGAGGAGAACAGACTGTACCTCGATCGATACAGCTCGGTTTCTGGTACTCGCACTGTGAAGCTCCTCGATGAAGAGGCTTTGCATGGTGGCACCATTCATGGAGACGTGTGGCGCTGGGGTGGCCTGTGTGGCCTGGGCTCCTGCTGCTGGCTCCAGCGGGGAGGCTGCGGAGTGGCTGCTTGCTGGGGGGCCTTCCCCGGGGCTGGCTGGGGAAGGAGAACCCTGGCTGTGGTTGACCAAGGCTGCCGAGTGCTGTGACTGATGGATGACAACAGGAGAGCTCTGCACGTGATGGACCGTCATGTTTGAGAAGGGGACGACTTCCGACTTGACTGATGACACCTGGGACTCCGCTGCCACTGCTGGGAGGTTTTGCTGCGTGTGTCCCTGGGTATGCTTGAGCTCCTCCTGGTTCTTCAGAGCTTCAGTTGTGGTGGCCTTTTCCATGGTGGAGTATTGCACAGCTTGGGAGGGATCCACACCCCTCAGCAGTCCGTCCGTAACGTGTCTGCCCGGTCAAATTGAACACAACATCATGCACAAAGTTAGCACACACCTTGGGCACAAGCAATATGCTACAACAAGGAGTTCTCCTTAAGTTTTGCAAGGGAAAAACACCTAATGTCAAAATGGTGCTTTTTTTCCTGAGGCACCTCGTGGTGTGATTTTATGGCTTCCTCTCAAGTTAGGGATTCAGGCTTTTAAACAGTACACTCTAACTTGGTTCTTTTTTGCCTTTTAAAATGTTTACAGAGCTTCAGAGATTTACCCGTAATTTAGAGAGGATTGATTTTAGAGGCAGAACAGAAATCAACTATTATTTTTTTCCATACAGAACCTAGATAAACAACGGATTCCTGGATTATCAGCATGGAAATTGATAGTCATACAGGATCTGAGGTACCAGTTAGAAAGTGGCCAAAACAAAGTGTCAAATGATGCTTCACAAGGTCTTGTCTGTCAAGAGTTTGGGGCAGAATGAGCAGAGGATAAAAAACAATTCAAACATTTCTGACAATTAGCTGTGAAATAGCTGAGTTTCAACACCCATCTATGCATCAAATGTTAACAGTTTCTCAAACATCTGTAACAAGATCTGTTACATGAAGTGCTTTGTTCCTTTGCTAATAGTGACAAAACCATTTACATTGATCCAGGAGATACGGGAAGAAAGACAACCATAGCTTCCTTAAAATAATGGCAGCAACAGCATGCTTATGGCTTTATTTTTTTGTAATTTAAGTAAAATTGGGAATAACCACCACCCATGACAGTTTGGCCTGATTCATTCAGAGTATTCAAGAGGAATTAAAGGCAACGCCTATTGCCTCATAGGAATCAGCATTTGTTTGCTGCCTTTATATTCTGACAGATACACCTAAACAGTGTATCGTACTGCAAAGAACAGAATAAACAATTCATGTGAATTCACAAGAATTTTGAAAAATATTTGTTACTCCTTCCAAGACATTCTAGGTTGTCTGCATCCACTCAGAATCCTTTCCTATGTCATTTTGTATATTTTTGGGGATGCACATTTCAGTGTCTGATAATATCTCTATTAATTTATGCTGTTGTAAATGTCTGTAGTTAACTGCCATTCAGTTAGCTCCCAAATTCAGAAGTTTTCAGTGTGAGCCAGATTCAGTCAAAGCATCTAGACAACCAAGACTGCTGGTCATAGGAGAACCACTGCACAGGGTCACAGCAAAGATTAATCTCATCTCCCTTCAGACGACTCTGTGAAGAATTTATACAATACTGAAAACACGTTTGCATTTCTCAAAACCACTTGACTCTGGGGAGACCGAGAGAACCCAAACCCAGGCCTGCTTGAGGAAAGCTTTTAAGAAACAAATTCACCTCCTGAGCATGGTAAGGATGTCTGTCATGCTGCGCACCCGCTTCAGCAAGCTGTCGAGTTTGTGTGGTTCTTCCTTGAGGAACCTCACGGCCTCCACCTCAATGCGTAGGATCGCACGCATTTTGTTCTGCAATGTTGGGAACTCTCCTGCAAAGACAACAACTGTGAAGCTCAAGAGGAAAAGGTAAAAGTCTCAGGAAGAAACAAAGTGGCAATGGGGTGAATGTTAAATAGTCGTCTGCCTCTTTCCAGGGGCTTGCCCCCATAATCCTAATTTTAAATATCTTTGGAAGTGAAAATTAATGTCCTCAGGTCAAGGGCAAAACTGTTCTTGCAGTGGTTAAAAAATTGTGAGGACAAAGGAAAAGTACCCACCTTTGAGGGTGGCAACAGCTTCTCCTACTTGACGCAAAAGAAAGGCTCCATCTTCAACATCTTTCAGCGTGACTGTCTTGCCGGTGGCTGTAGAGTCCCTCTTCAGGTCTTCGACAAATCCCTCCAGCTCACTGGTAAAACAGAAAGGTGGAAATGAAGAACTTCCTCTTTAAAATCAAATAAATAGGAAAAAAATGAATTAAACAAAAGCAGAAATCTCACTTGTGGCTTCTTTGAAACTGATACCATGGGGTGAAAGGAAGGGGTAGGCCAAGGGGATGTGAGGATGCCAGACATGCCCACAGGAGAGGGCTGTGCAGCTGCTCCAAGGTGCTGATTGCTCCAACGTGCTGCAGATGTGTGGAGCGTATTGGCCTCGGGGTGGCTGTGCTGCACGAGGCAGCTGGGGCTTTGGCAAAGAACGTCCAGGAGCCAAGAAGTGGATACCTGCATTGCACTGGCACATTTAGCCCTGCTTTGTACCTGGTGCTGGTGACATATGAGGAAATGCACAACAGTGGGGTGACAGACCAAAAAGTGGCACTTAATGACCTGTTGATGCAACCCTGCTTATTTGGCTGCTCTTGACTCCTTTAGGACTCAAGAATGAATCGCTGCAGGTCTTTCCCCCAACCTGTGCTGCACCATGCTTCCTCAGGCCCCATTTCGTGCTTTCAATGCTTTTTCAAGTACCTTTTCTAATGTTTTAACCTGCATCACATTATTTGTCAGACTCCTCCAGGCACATTTACTTGATCTTTGGTAGGGCAGGGTCCACATGCTTCCATTTAGGGTTGAAATGAAACTGCTTTAGCCAAACCTTCCACACGGGAGCTTAGCAATACATCAAAAATCCTAGAAGTGCCTTATGCCAAACAGAAGAAACACTGCTATGAATACCTCAAAATAACCATCCCATGAGTATTTGTTCCAAAAGAAATCTGCCTCTGTTACAATATTTACTTCGCAAATTACTAAAAGGAATATTCTGAGAAACAACATTAGAAAATAAATTGCACATTTGAAACAGAAAACAGTTACTGCACTGACAAACCAACTATTTATTTTCTCCTAATCTGGAGTCTTGTTTCATTCACTCAAGTAGCGAGAGCGCCAAGGTATAGGCTGATTGCAGAAAAGGGAGAGGAGAAGGCTGCCTTCCACACCAGTCACGGATCTTACATTTACATATATTTCCCTTCACTGCCACAAGGCACATGGAAAAAAAAATTAAAAAGACAGCAAAAAATATTCACTTTCAGCCAGCTGACTGTGTAGATCCATTTCAGTGGATAGGCAGCATGATGAAAAGGAAGGAATAGATTGTCAGCTACCGAGGAAAGGCATGAAATAAAAATCCACCACAGCACCAGTCTCCATATAGGTAAATTTAAAGTGAAAAGTTACACACAACAAAAATAAGAATACAGAAGTATTTCTGGTACACATACAAACACAGATCATATCAGAATTTGAACATCAAATGCATGCAGCAAAGAGTTCAGTCTTTGTCCAAAGACTAAGGAGGTAGAATTATAAAATAATTTTGAACTGAGAATTATAAGTTGCTTCTGAACTGACCACAAATAGAAGCAAAGATAAACGACCATGCTCCTGTTTCAGGGAATTCCTGTGAGACTCACAGTTCCCACTAGCACTGGAGTACTTGCAAGAAACTATCTGAAGGGCCACACGATGGCAGCAAGGGGACGTTATTGGGATATTTCCCCACTCAAACAAGCTGCTATAATACAAGTATCTGCTATCCCTGTGTCTGCCCTTGCAGCTCAGGAGGGCACAGACAGATATAACCTAGGAAGCAGCTGAGAAAGGAACTCGCTTTTCCATCACCTCCCTGCGATGCCAGGCTGCCACCACCACGGGCAACGCTCCCTCTGCAGCCCGTGTCCAGACAGCAGCGCTCCGGAGCAGGCCGCGCGCTCCGGGACTCGGGGAGCACCCTCCTTCCGGAGAGCACCGCTGGAAGCAGCGGCTTCTCACATATCCTCGTCCCCAGGGAACGCTAAGGTTAAGGGAGAGCCTGGAATGGGCTCAAGGGTGGAAAGAAGAGACAGGAACAAAGGCCAATAATGTGAGAATGTTTTGGTAAGTTTATGATACTGTCATAAATACAGGGATAAAGCAGAGACTTCCTGCCAGCACACAACGTTGTCTTTCTTTCTCTTTTGTTCCTTCAGCAGATGAGGAAGGGGGTAACCATAAACCTTTGATTTCACACAGCGATGCTATCAAACTAGACAGCTGATGCTGAAATTACTCAGAGGATACCATATTTTACTGCCTCCTGTTGCTAACCACAAGAGCAGAGAAACTTCAGACCTCGAGACCCAAAGATTTACACAGATCCAGCTGTTTCCAGTGTTTCCTTTTTTTAACTGAGTGAGCAACGTGGCTTTACAGACTGGATAAGCAGCAGGACACTCACCTTTATGCAGGTTTAGAAAGATATTACATAATAAATGGATTTTTGCATCTATGTTTACCACAGAGGAGCTGAGGCAAACTCTTATGCTTTTTCTTTAGGCAAAAAGCAGCAGAGGATCCATCTCAGATTGCGCTATCAGTAAAACCAGTTACAAAACAAACTGACAAAATTAATAGCAACCTCACCCAGACCAGATGGTACTCACCCTGGAGTTCAAAAGCAACTCAAGGATGAAACGGCTGAACTACTAACATTAAGCATCTAGCTCTGGATTTGTATTTTTTTGGCACCAGTGTAGCAGAAAAACTCACAGATGATACACACATTTTTATTTTTTTAAGGGGTAGAGCTACCTAGGGAACTGTAGGCTGGTGAGTAATTGCTGTAACTGGCAGATACCATATTAACGAATGGTATTAATAGACACATGGATAAATGTCCTGTACTGGGGGGGAAGTACGGCAGGAGAATAAAAAGAAGGCAAGTCTCAAATAAACAAGGTCCTTGGAAATAATCAACGAAAGTGTGGGCGCAAGATACAGCCCAAAAGGATACCAATAAGGCATCTGAGCAAAAGCTTTTAAAGAAAGAAAAGTTGCCATGGGACAAGAGGGAAAATTATCTCATGGACAAAATACCAGAAGTAAAGGGAGGGGATAAATGGACGACTTACTTACTCAATGAGGAGGGTTTCCTGGTGGGTTCCACAGGGATCAGTACCAGGATTAATGCTTTTCAACATATTATAAATGATTCAGAAGAGAGGATGAATAGAGGAGTGAAAAAATCTCCAAAGGTTATTAAATTATTCAAGAGAATGAAAATGAAAGCTGAATGCAGAGCACTGCACATGGACCATCTGATACTAATTGACCAGGAAAAAAATTAAAGATTAAATTCACTGCTAAGAAATGCAAAGCAATGCACAGGATATATATATATATATAAATATATAAAAGCAAAGAGAAACCAACAACCACGGTAAAGCCTTGCTTTCCTACACAGTAATAAACTTTGAACATAATATTAGCACTTGTGAGCGAGATCTTGGCGTGGTAATGCAAAGCTCGTGTGGGACACGAGGCCAGAGAGCAGCGCTTGGCGGCTGCGCGAGGCCCTGGGTGCTCTGCTTGCAGCCGGGCCAGCACGCGCAGGGCCCTCCTCGCAGCCCACTGCGACGGGCACAGACAGCAGGCTGATGAACTGCATGGGGAGCCTGCTACAGGGAGAGAAGTCACACAGAGGAGGGCTCTTCAGGCTGGAAAAGGCACGATCAGGGGAAGGTGGGGAGGAAAGACTGTGTAACATCATGACCAGCGTGGGTAGGGTGAATGTTCTACCCTGCAGAATGTGAAAGCTTGGAGATCAATTGTCAGATGAAAGATTGAAAAGCAAATAAAAAAGAGGCTCTTGGCACCCAGAAGGGAATTACTCCACAGAATTCCTTGCCCCTGAATGCTATGCAAAACAAAGTTTACATAAATTAAGCAAAAAATCCCCGAAGTTCATGAAAGGTAAACAGCCCTCCTAGTGCCTTCATATACGAGAATACCACCTCTGACTTAGAAAATCCCTGAGCTGCAGGTTGCCAAATATGGGAAATGCGAGTCCATGTTCTTGTATTCCTTCCCAAACATCTGCTGCCGCACAGGCTCCAAGACTAAGCGCACCATTGCTTTTATTGAGCTTTGTAATTTTTACAAAGATGTCTGAAACTTCTCTTAAAAAACATATAGATTTTAAATTACTATGGAATGTAACAGGCACCTATCAGGAAAATTGAGATAGTTATATTATACATACCATGCTTATAAAAAAAACCTCTCTTCAAGGGCTTGTAATAATCTACAATATACAGCACTCACACCTGGAACCTGCTCCTCACCATATAAATACTTTATTAGTCAATATACCATACTGTCAGAACATGCCCTTGCTCTAGAAAATTTTAAGGCTAGTATCTGCGACCCAAATATTGCCATATATTCCATCGCTAATGGTGAGTAGACAGAAAAAAAAAATCGCCAGTTAAATTTGAGTGTGCTTTTCACTGTTACAAGCACGCAGCAATAGTAGGTTTAACAGCATTCCTTGGATTTCACTTGCTATCTCTGAATTGTAATCCCACCACAACTTGGGTACATTGGACCTGCATTTACAGGCACCATTATGAACAGACCAACAGAAAACATGCTCTGAAATTTGACATCTCTGGCATTTAAGGCATGAAACTGCCAAGATTTTTGTTTTTAATTTCCAAAGATAATCTTCAGAATAGCAGAAAGCAGGATTTATTTTCCTTATGCTGAGATTTAAAGAAACCAAAAGAATTTTCCTTTTATTTCTTTAGAAGAAAGACTCTTTCAGAGTACTAAACAGTTTCTTAAGTGTTGCAAAAATCCTCAAGCTTCCTGTCTTACATAAAGCCAATGCGCTCATTTAATCATATGATTTAGGGAAGGTTAAGAGGGCAACAGTTGAAAGACTAAGTAGCAGTAATTTTCTTGCCCTGTTGCTTTGCATTTCTTTGTACATCTTGACATGCAATTGTGTGATGTGCACTCTTCATTAAAAACAGCCATCAGCTGTTGAACGTAAAGCATTGTTACCAGACCTGCTTTTTCTTTTGGGGTCTGATCCTGCAAACATGCAACTCTTGGCAAAAGTCTTACTAGAGAAAACTGAAAAAGATTCCACACTGTGATTTTTGTGTTTGTTGAAGGGGTTGAACTAACATCTTCAGCCTGTGAATATTCTAAGTAAAACTCTCTCTTATATCATTAGAAAATTAATACTACTTTGCTATCAGTGTTTCTTATCTGCACTGTAAACTGCCATAGCATAATATGAGAATGAGGATGCTGCTCTTTGATAACTAAGCTGAGGCTGCATAGAAGCAGCAGAAACTCTGAGTATGGAACAGATAGCAAATGTTGATAAAACAGTACCACACTGCAATCAAAGTTGTGTCCTAAATGAACAGCTGTAACAACTAACAATACCCTAGCACTCGACCTCATCTAGTGTCCCTTTTATGAGACTGTGCTATAAACAAATATCACACATTTATCTCCTTCCCTAGAGAACAAACAAGCTAAGAACTAAGTAATATAATGCACTTGAATAAAGTGACGAACAGGAGAGTAATCACTTAAGACCATAACACGGTGTAATTTAAGGCCATAAATGAGCTGAGAGGATTATTAATGTGCATTCAACTTTTCTTCACAGAAGACACACACTCCCTCAGTTATGTCCTACTTTATCTTTATAGATGTAGTGTTTTTACTGCAAATCGTACTCATTTGGCAACACATTGATCAACACAAAAGATTTACTTTCCTCAGCTGTCAATAACTGTGCTCTGTGAAGAGCTCCTATGGCTCTTCAATCACAATTTCCAATGAAAAGCTTATTATAAAGCTTCTGTGTCATGGAGCAATTCTTCAGATGTGAATTAAATTTCAGTAATGAAAAATAATTAATTATACAGCATCTTACAAATGTCACTGTTAGAACTAGTTAAATTGTTTATTGATTTCAGTTTCATCTTGTCTCCTGATGACTCAGAGCATGGACTAAAACGAGTAATGTGATTCCCCCAGTCATGATATGCCACAGTATTGGGAAAGAAGATTCTTGCAAAAAGTCTTTACATAACCAAGAAAAAGAAAAAGTGAAAGAACTTTTTAACTGCCCTTTAGCATGTGGAAATTCCAATGAGTAACGCTGGCATTGCTGATTTTAATTAAACATCTGTCCCCTATGTATGAGTTCCCCTGACCCTCCTATGCAACAGACAAAGCATTTACTATTGATATCTTTTTTTTTTTTTTAAACTTAGCATCAAACTGATTACCTTTCTTTGCATCTATTTGCAGCATAAGGGAATTCCTTGCTCTTT